CTTTCTGAAGAAGGGTCTAGACCTGAAATGTCAGCTTTCCTGCTCCTCTGATGCTGCTTGGTCTTCTGTACTTAATAGTTCTTGTTGTTTGTTACAAAAGAAAAGTCTAAGTACAAGTAAACAATTACGAACCATTAGCTCATCACTCGACTAGTTAAAACACTAACATCCTTGTAATTGTACCCTGCATATAGAGACACCCAGACAGGAGAAAATGTGGATGTTATGGGCAAAAGGAGGGACTAGGAAGGTAGTTCAGTGGTTCATGTACCCAGGCTTTGCTGAGACAATTTGTCAGGATGCCGCTCCTTGACCTTCCGTCTCCAGGTTGCAGGAGGAATAGGGTGGCTGGTTTGTACTTGAAATCTCTGACTTACTGGTTATAAAGATAGAGCTTACAGTAACTGATGAGAGGTTCAATAAATGAGCTTTCCTCAGGCTTGAGATGTTTTTTACAGCAGAAAAAAAAATGCGCCTCTCTTTCCCTTGTGAAAATCCAATGATTTCTCACTAATTATTCATACCCCAAGCTGTTCTGCGACCTGGGAGCCTGTCACATAGTTGTTTGAAGGCTTTTATCCATGATAACTGGTCATTATATCAGAGACCAATCATTTACTTGTTGCCAGTCAAAGCTTCATTTGTTTACACCCCTTGGCTCCAGTGTGCCTAGAACTAGAATTTCCCTGAACTGCTAGAACTAACTACTGTGTAAACATCACTAACAGTGATTACCAAGTAACTTGATTTTAAAAGGTACAGCAATCCTTCAGTTATCTTTGGTTTTTAAACGTCCATTTCAGTGCATGACCAAAAACGCTAAAAAATGAAAGGATATGGTCTTTACACTAATAGTAAGGAAAAAGCAAAGTCACTGGAGTCTTACCAGACCAGAGGGCTGCTCTCTCATTAGAGAGAGACAACTGCGAGTGGTTTAACCTGAGGGTCAGGCGAGGGGAAATGTCAAGAAGGGGGGTCTTCCATGGTAACCTCAGCTGGTGCAGGTATTGAACCCACACTGTTGGTATAACTCTGCATTACAAACTAGCCATCCAGCCAACTGAGCTAACCAACCCCTTCTTTATAGAATTCTCCAAACTGAAAGAAGAAACCCCTATTTACTTACTTTGTGTTTGTCAGTGTTTCTTGATTTTAGATGCTTCTGATGATGACTAGCCAGCGACTCCCACTGAAAGGTGTCTCTGTCTGTGTCTGTGTCTCTGTCTGTGTCTGTGTCTGTGTGTGAGTGAGATCACTGATCACTGTCTACACTTACAAATGAAGGATGGGCGCTCTGGTGAAATGAAGATGCTTTGAAATTGTGCTTCAAAAATGCCAGGATCTTCAGGGGAGAAAACAAAAAGAAAATAGAACTTTTATTCAAAGTAATTTTTCATTGAATTCTTGTGATCTGTTTTATGATAGCATCACAGTTATAAAAAAAGATTTAGTTGAATGCTTGACTTTTCCACTAGGTACCAGAATAAGAGGAAGCTAATAGTTTATGATCTGAAGCCGTTTTCCATTTTTAAATTTCCTGAAGCCCGCGGCAGCTTTTTTAGAGCAAAATTAATCTGTCAGAGCCTCTGCATATTCTTCTCCTCTTCGGATGAGACTCTCACCGTGTCACATTTACCAGGACACTATAAGAGCATGCGTGGAGGTATCAGGCCAATGGAACATCAAGAGAATCAAGTGAGTCTGCAAATTGTATCTAAATTATTTCTCTATTGTGCTCTAGTTGTTTCTCCATGCATCCTAAAGTGACTGAATCTTGTTGAGTTATGCTTCCAAGATGCCAAATATATGTCAGCCATGGTTCTGATGGTAACGGTCTCACCCCTGAGTCAGAAGGTTGAGCATTCAAGTCCCAATGCAGAGACCTGAGCTCAGAAACGGGCGGCACAGTGGCTCAGTGGTTAGCACTGCTGCCTCACAGCGCCGGGGACCTGGGTTCGATTCCACCCTCAAGCGACTGTCTGTGTGGAGTTTGCACATTCTCCCTGTGTCTGCGTGGGGGTGCTCCGATTTCCTCCCACAGTCCAAAGATGTGCAGGCTGGGTGGATTGGCCATGCTAAATTGCCCATACTGCTGAAGGATGTGTAGATTAGGTGGGTTATAGGGGTTGGGTCTGGGTGGGATGCTCTGAGGGTCAGTGTGGACTTGTTGGGCCGAAGGGCCTGTTTCCACACTGTAGGATTCTATGATGTAAATCAAGTTTGACCCTTCAGCGATCACTGAGGAAATACTGCACTGTGGCAGGTGTCCTGTTCCAAATGAAAGTCAATGAAAGCAGGAAAATACCACTATTTCCCGGAAGAGTTTTCTCTGGTTTCCTGGCCTATATTTATCTTTGAACCAGCATAACACCGATGCTTCACCGGAGGCACACTGACTATGTTACTGAGCAGGGTGACAAAACGTTTGCAACCAAACCCTGGCTCGGTGAGCAAGTCTACAACGTCATCCACAACCTGATCTACAAATCTTCTCAAAACTTTAAACTAAACCAGATTGCCTGACCATTACGTCATTGTTTGATTGTGGGAACTTACTGTGTCTTAACTAATTGCTGTGTTTCCTACATTTATAATAGTGATCACCTCTGCAAAGTATTTAACTGATTGCAAAGACTTCCACAGGTCTCTGTATGTACATGCAAAACTTTTTCTTTTTATCCTCTACTTCGCTCTATTAGCTATTTACACGAATAAATTGGAATTAACAATCAATGCAGACTGCCTGGGGTTGTTCATGTCCTAAAATTAAATTTTTATAGTGGACACAGCCAGATCCAATCCTGTCCTGGCCCAATAGCACCAGGCAAGCTGACTGATTGATTAGTTATCTCCCTCTCTCTAGCCCGTTGATCCCAAAGTCAATTGTACCTTCAAAAGCACTTCCTGAGGTCAACTAAACCAGCACAAACCAGGTATTGTACCTAAGAATTTCCTTCTAATTGGCACTTCCCAGCTGTAGTAAAATACCTACATTCAAGATTTGTATACATAGAAACTTAGAAAATAGGAGCAAGAGTAGGCCATTGGGCCCTTCAAGCTTGCTTTGCCATTCAGTATGATCCTGGTTATCATCCAACTCCATAACTTGTTCCTGCTTTCACCCCATCCCCTTTGGTCCCTTTAGCCCTCTGATCTAGTTCTAATTCCTTCAAAACATTTTGGTCTCAACTGCTTTCTACGGCAGAGAATTCCACAGGATCATCACTTTCTAGGTGAAGAAATTTCTGCTCAGCTCAGTCCTAAATGGTCTGCCCTGCATCATAGAGTCATACAGTCATACAGCACAGAAACGGACACTTTGGTCCAACCAGTCTGTGCTGAACATAATTACAAACTGAACTAGTCCCACCTGCCTGCTCCTGGCCCATATACCTCCAAACCTTTCCTATTCATGTACTTATCTAAATGTCTTTTAAACATTGTAATTGTGCCCGCATCCACAACTTCCTCAGGAAGTTCATTCCACATGTGAACCACCCTCTGAGTAAAAAAATTTGCCTCCTATGTCTTTTTTAAATCTCTCTCCTCTCACCTTAAAAATGTGCACCCTAATCTTGAAGTGCCCATTCTAGGGAAAAGACAACTACCATCAACTCTATCTATACCCCTCATTATTTTATAAACTTCTATCAGGTCTACCATGCCTCCTATATTCTAATCCAAAAAATTTATGGAAATGATAAACAAAAGAGGACCCAGAACTGATCCCTGTGGAACACCGCTGGTCACAGGCCTCCAGTCTGAAAAGCAACCTTCCATCATTATTCTCTGTCTCCTGCTGTTAAGCTAATTATATATCCAATTGGTAAGCTCACCCTGAATCCCATGCGACCTAACTTTGCTAATTAGTCTACTATATGGAACCTTGTCAAAGCTTTTACTAAAATCCAAATAAACAACATCTACTGCTGTGTCATCATCAGTCCTTTGGGTAATTTCCTTAAAAATCTCAATCAAGTTTGACCTTTAGACTGTGACCCGTGGTTCTGGAACTGCCCGGTCATTGGGAACATTCTTCCTGCATTGACCCTGTCTAGTCCTGTTAGAATTGTATAGATTTCTGTGAGATTCCACTACACCCCTCATTCTTCTAAACTCAAGTTAATATATTCAATCCATGAAAGCAGACAAATTCTATTCAGTTACATTTGAAAGGAGAGAGATTCTGTTGTTTTTACACGTGCCACTTTGCCTGTTTCGGACGCTTTCTGTGCTTTCTGCGTGTTGATTGAGCAGGACCTTTTACTCTGGTACTTACCAGGTAGTGAAAAGTTTGTTGTGTAGGTTCTCCTCACCACCTTGTGTCAAAGATGAGGTTATCGCCAACAATCTGTTATGTGTAGCACAACTGTAGACCACCTAGTTCCTCGTCAGAAGTGTATTTTCAGTGTGAATTGACAGCTTTTGCTGAGTGCATTGTAAGAAATTCATTGCACGCAAATCTCCCTCAATGAACTTATTGTGTGACATTGATTTCATTTCTCAATCACCTTCCCTAAAAAAAAATTTGTACAATGAATGACTATTGTGTTCTTTATTTCAGCAACTAATTGAAGACACCAAGCAGATTTGGGAAAAGATGGTGAATCTGGGTGAAACTAAGGAGAATGGTTACTTCATGACTCGTGATGGTGAAGTTACAGTTTTGTGATAGTTGTTGTTCCAATTGAATTGAAGCAGTTTCCATTTCTTACTCCCAGGATTGAAGTTTGCAAGTGCCTGAAAAAACGTCACAGTAGACAGTCTGGTACTTTTGATTTCTAAGGCATTGCGCTTGCTTTAAAAAACATATTCTTAGAATATGGTCATCTCTGGCAAGACCAACATCTATTGATTATCCCTAATTGCTTCTTGAGCAGGAAGTGGTGAAGCAGCTACAACAGAACAGTTTGCTATGCAGTGGGTCAGGCATCAAGATTAGGCCACAGTGGGTAAAAATGTCAGATTTCCTTCCCTGAAGGACATTAGTGAACCAAATGTATTTTAACGTTGGTATTTTTGGTATGAGATGAACATTCTATTTAAAATTTATCAATTAAATTTAAATTTCCCCAACTTCAGAGGTTGTGTTTGAACATGTATCCCTGAAACTTTAGAACAGGCCTTTGGATTACTAGCTAGTGTCATTCCTATTACTCTACTGTACCAATCCCTTTTCCCTTTTACTAAAGGGCGGCACGGTGGCTCAGTGGTTAGCCCTGCTGCTTCACAGTGCCAGGGACCCGGGTTCAATTCCACCCTCGGGCAACTGTCTGTGTGGAGTTTGCACATTCTCCCTGTGTCTGCGTGGGTTTCCTCCCACAGTCCAAAGATGTGCTGGTTAGGTGGATCAGCTATGCTAAATTGCACATTGTGTCCAGGGATGTGCAGCCTAGATGGATTAGCCATGGGAAATGCAGGGTTACGGAGATAGGGTTGGGTGGGGGTGTCTAGGTGGGCTCCTCTTTAGACAGTCAGTGTGGACTCGATGGGCCGAGCGGCCTGATTCCATACTGTAGGAATTCTATGATTCTAAAGTAAAGCAAGTGCCTTACTGAATGATTTTGGTTTTGCTTTTTTAAATTCTTTTTTCAAGCTTAGACCCTTTAAATCATCCATTATGTGTCTGAATTTCCTGCTAAGAGAGCAATAGAATTGGAAAAATCAGGAAAAGATTATGTAAAAGAACTTAGTAAGAAACATGTCATTAGACAATGCAGGGTAACTAATTCTGCCACTGACTTGATGTAAAATATTTTGTCAAGAAATGTGGTTGAGCTGTGTAAGTTTGAAAGGGGACAAAAATAGCATCAAAACCTTCTTGGAGGCAATTATTGATGGGTAATAAATGCCAGCCTTATGATAAATGCCCATATCCTATGAAAGAAAATCTTGGGAATGAACTTGAAGAGGGGGTAGTAGTTACTGTCACTCTCCAGATAATGGAGAAACAGCAAATACAAACCAGTCAAGCTCTCCATACATTCCAGAACATTAGAACCTGTCATCTAGACATTATGCACATGCTTCAGTGGCAATTTAGTTTTGGTCATTATATGTTCTTTTGAAATTAGATTAGAGAAAAACAGCAAGGTTAACCCCATGTGAAATGTGGTTAAAGTGGGAGTCAAGCCTAGAATCGCTTAAGCTTGGAGTTTGGCACCATAGCAATGGTGGCCATCATGTGTCATAGCCAAAAATATTCTAATTTTGACAGAAAAACATTTTTTTCTTTGTGTAGTAAAACTGTTCTTGTAACACTGCAGGACTACTTGCAGGCTGTTGGACTTAAGATTCTTTTTTGTTTGTTTTTTTGAAAGGATATCTGAAGCTTTGGCAGCTCAGCAAGCCACGGCTGTTACAGTTTGATGTCATCCTTTTAGATGAAGCTGAAGATTGTAGCCCAGGTAGGTACGTTACTTGCTGTTCTTTTCCAACTGGAGAGGACTGTTCAAACACCAAACGTGATTGAAAGACAGACCCAATAAAGTTGAACATGTAGATACTTAACAATTGTGCAACTTGTGTGGTATAAAGAATTGTGTGAGCTTGGGAGGGAAGTTAAGTTCTGCTGCATTTTATTGTGTTCACATGGTCTCTCTACACTTTACCATCTGCAAGACTGATGGGAGGGTGGTAGATCTTCTGGTCTAATAAAGCAAAGTACTGTTAGATATTTATGTGGATTATTGTGGACCCTGAACCATTCTGTTGTTTGGTGAGCTGCATCCTGCTCCTGAGGTTTAAATGTAATGTCGTGTTCACACCAAGGGGAACTAATGGATCCCTTATCATCCAAAACATTTTATTACGTCAGACCACACAAGTCTGAGCTGTAGCCTCGATGTCTGTGGTAAGAGACCACAGCCAAAAGCCATTGCAATTGATTTTGGTTAGTCTGTTTCTCTCGCAACACCTCTTCACCTTTTCCCTGTGATTATCCTCCTTTATCCAGTAATCATGGACATTGTGCTGTCTCAGAAATGTGGCAAGATTCTTGTGGGTGATCCACACCAGCAGACCAGTGAATTCGGGGGTTCTGTGAATGATCTACTTAAAGCCCACCGATCACATCAGTTTCAACTGACACAGGTAAGGCTTCATTTACTTCCAGCTGTCGTCCATGATAATTGTTTCAGATCACACAAAAATAAAATCACAAAAGCCACAGGCGAACCCCTTTGCAAGAACCATGGAACTTTTCGTTGTTATGGCCTTTGGCTGTCCCATATTGAAGTTATATTCCAGAATCAGTGATTCTAACAGGACTATAGAGAGTAAGTGCAGGAAAGACATTCCCCAGTATCTAGGGAGTTCAGAATTAGGGGTCAACGACTGAGGATACAGGGTAGGCCATTTAGGACTGGAGATAGGAAGAAATTTCTTTACTGGTGAGTAGTGAGTCTGTGGAATTATCTGCCACAGAAAGCAGTTGAGGCCAAAACATTTAATGTTTTCATGAAGGAGTTAGAACACAGAACATAGAACTGTACAGCACAGTACAGGCCCTTCAGCCCACGATGTTGTGCCAAACTTTTACCCTAAACCTAAGGTCTATCTAACCTCCACCCCTACCTTGTACTATCATCCATATGCCTATCTAATAGCCGCTTAAATGCCCCTAATGAGGCCGACTCCACTACCCTCTCCAACAATGCATTTCACGCCCCTACCACTCTGAGTAAAGAACCTACCTCTGACGTCTCCCCTATATCTACCTCCACTCACTTTAAAACTATGCCCCCTTGTAATAGCTACCTCCACCCTAGGAAAAAGTCTCTGGCTGTCCTCTCTACCTATACCTCTGATTATTTTATACACCTCTATCAAGCCACCTCTCAATCCTTCGTCGTTCTAAAGAGAAAAGCCCTAGCTCTCTCGACCTTTCCTCGTAAGACCTTCCCTCCATTCCAGGTAACATCCTGGTAAATCTCCTCTGCACCTTTTCTGACACTTCCACATCTTTCCTGTAATGAGGTGACCAGGACTGGACACAATGCTCCAGATGTGGCCGATCCAGGGTTTTGTATAGCTGGAGCATAACTTCACAGTTCTTGAATTCAATCCCTCTATTAATGAAAGCTAAGACACCATACGCCCTCTTAACAACTCTATCCACCTGGGTGGCAGCTTTCAGGGAACTGTGGACATGAGCCCCAAGATCTCTCTGCTCCTCCTCACTGCCAAGAATCTTTCCGTTAACTCTGTATTCTGCTTTCAAATTTGTCCTTCCAAAATGAATCACCTCACACTTTTCAGGGTTAAATTCCATCTGCCACTTCTCAGCCCAGCTCTGCATCCTATCAATGTCCCTTTGTAACCTAGAATAGCCCTCCGCACTATCCACAACTTGACCCACCTTCATATCATCCACGAACTTGTTAATCCACCCTTCCACTCCTACATCCAAATCATTTACAGAAATCACAAATAGAAGAGGACCCAGAACAGATCCTTGTGGTACACCACTCATAACTGAGCACCATGTTGTATATTTTCCGTCCACTACCACCCTTTGTCTTCTGAGGGTCAGCCAATTCTGAATCCAATCTGCCACATTTCCCCCTATCCCATGCCTCCTTACTTTTTGCATGAGCCTATTGTGGGGAACCTTATCAAACGCCTTACTTAAATCCATGTATATCACATCCGCTGCTCCACCTTCATCCACGTGTTTGGTCACCTCTTCAAAGAACTCAATAAGGTTTGTGAGGCATGATCTACCCCTCACAAATCGATGCTGACTATCACAAATCAAACTGTGCCTATCCAAGTGATCATAAATCCTATCTGTCAGAGCCCTTTCCAATAATTTGCCCACCACTGAAGTAAGATAGAGTTAGATATAGTTATAGAGTCATAGAGATATACAGCACTGAAGTAGATCCTTCAGTCCAACTCGTCCACGCCAACCTGATATCCTTTATAAATCTAGGCCCATTTTCCAGCATTTGGCCCATATCCCTCTAGGGTCTAGGCCCGAAATGTCAGCCTTCCTGCTCCTCTGATGCTGCTTGGCCTGCTGTGTTCATCCAGCTCCAACCTTGTTATCCCTCTAAACCCTTCCTATTCATATACCCATCCAGATGCCTTTTAAATGTTGTAATCGTACCAGCCTCCACCACTTCCTTTGGCAGCTCATTCCATTCACGCACCACCCTCTGTGTGAAAAATTGCCCCTGAATGCCTTTTAAATCTTCTCCCCTCTGTCCTCTAGTTTTAGACTCCCCACCCCAGGGAAAAGACCTTATCTATTTAGCCTATCCATGCCTCTCATGATTATTAGGATGAAAGGGATCAAAATGTAAAGGAAGAAAGCAGGAACAAGGGACTGAGTTGGATGATCAGCCATGATTGGATTGAATGACAGAGTAGGCTTGAAGGGCTGAATGGCCTACTCATGCTGTTTTCTTTTCCCAAATATTACTGCATAATTCTAAATGAAACATGAGTCTATTTTTATCTGTGCCTGACTTGCTACTTGATGTGCACAATATTCAAAGGTATGATGTGACCATTGGTATTTCTTTCTGTACTTACAGAGTTTCAGATTTGGACCCAAAATTGCTTATGTTGCAGCCACAATATTGGACGTGTACAAACATGTCAAAGACAAGACCTTGGTTGGTGGAAAACAAGATGGTAATGAGGAAGAATGTGTTTTTATTTTTTGTGTATGTGTTGAGGTTGAGGGAAGAATAGTCCGGCAGCCAGGACTGGGTGCGTCTCTCTAGATTATGAGAGCCTAGATTTTATCAAAACTGTTCATCTTTGTTTGTTTTTGTTAGCCGGTTGCTTTAGCAATGCTACTTGCAACCTTCTAGTCACGTGACCTGAATAAGGTCAGTGTAAATTCTCGACTCACAACAAGTTTGAAACTGCTTCTGATTTGTATCAACAGCATTCTCATTAATTCCTTGTGATAGGCAATATTGACAATGACACTGGGCAGATGGCTGTTCTGTGCAGAACCAGTGCTGCAGTCTTTGATGAAGCTGTGTGCATTACTACGAGTGAAAAGCCAAGCAAGATGTACATCATCGGAGTGAGTATCCTGATATTTATTACAGTTCCAGGACTTTAAACTACAGTAGCCGTGAATGTGCAAGCATCTTTTTTTAAGAAAATGTGTGTTGTTTCATCTGTTTTATGCCATAGCACTCTGAACTCTTCAATTCCTCTCTCTCATAGGGACTTGATAAATTTGGAATGAACATAATTCTGGACATTTGGATGCTTATGATTCGGGAAAAGGAACAAGCAACCAGTGAGTTAAGTTTTTGACCATGTTAAGCTTTAAGAGGTGTATTTTGTCCTAATCTTTTTTTAATGAAGAAAGGTTGAGATCACAGGTACCGATGAGTCTGCTTCAAAACCCATAAGGTAAACAGTCTGTGAGGCCTTGGGGATTTTTTTCTAACAATAGAAGCAGCCTGAATGGGTGGGGTTAAACCTCCACTGAACCCAGGTTTTTAGTTTTAGTTTTTCAGTAGCAGTTGCTGGGGTCTTGAAGCTGAGTGGAAGCTGCAGTACATCTCTCCCTGTTACTCTTTCTCTGAGTTCTTTCTTGATGTTTTTCCTCCTGGATTGGAGAATTACCTGTGTGACAATCTATTTCACTGAATTTGCCTTTGCCTGTGTGTTAACTGTCTAGTATTAAATATTATATTATTCTGCTAAGTTTTCTACTAGAGTTAAGTTATTCCAAGTTCCTCTTTCTTTTGTTGTATTTTAACTGTAATGAATGAATAAAGTATGTTTTGCTTCAAATCTGGTAGTTTGACCAATCAAATTGCATCTGGAATGCAATGCCTGGCACTTACCTTCAAAATAAGAGAAGGTTATGGTTTAGGCTATCTTCTTAATATATTTTGAGGGATTGGGTTTGGTCTGGTCCACAACACACCCCATTATGTTCCTCCTTTTGATGTTCTGCCTCTGCACAGAGCAACGCCTTCATCACATGAATGAATAAAGTAAAGCCTATTTCTTTCACTATGGAACCCAGAGAAACATCTTTCCAATGTTTAATCAAAACAGAAGAGGGTGAGACCGCTGCATCTTACTGTACAAGGACTCAGCCAGACATGGTTGGAATGGAAATGAAGAACTGAATGCTGTAAATATGAAATGAAAACAGAAATATTGGAGAAACTCCACAGGTCTGGCAGCATCTGTAGCGAGAGAAACAGTTAATGTGTTGAGTCCAGTGATCCTTCATCAAAACTGTTCTGATGAAGAGTCATTGGACTTGAAATGTTCACTGTTTTTCTCTTGCTGCCAGACCGACTAAGTTTTTCCAGCATTTTCAGCTTCATTCTTATTTGTTGGAGTACTGTTTGGTTTCTGAATTTTCTACCTGGAACTTTGCTGAATTAACTGCAAATAAAGCTCTCTTGCTCTTGCCTGAACAACAGGGAGCAATAATGAAAGGTTGGGAGTAAAAAGGGAAATTGAGCAGAAGTTGTTTTTGTACAAAATGTGTTGAAATTGTGCAAGATGGAGAAGAACATCAAAATAAATGTATAAACATGCCAGAAGCTGATGTAAAACAGGGAAGGCTCATGACTTTGATGTTATAGAGTCATAGGGTTTTTAAAGCACACCAAGAGGCCTTTAGCCCATGGTGTCAGTGCTGGTCATCCAATTTCCCAATTCTTGGCCTGTAGCCTTTTATGCTGTGGATTTCAAATGTTCATCTAAATACTTTTTAAAATGTCTTTCGGGTTCTTGCCTTTATCACCCTTTTAGGCACTGAGTTCCAGATACCCACCATCGTCTGGGTGGAAAGGATCTTAGAGTCATACAGTCATTGAGATGTACAGAACGAAAACAGACCCTTCAGTCCAACTTGTCCATGCCGACCAGATATCCTAAATTAATCTGGTCCCATTTTCCAGCATTTGATCCCTATCCCTCTAAACCCTTCATGTACCCATCCAGACGCCTTTTAAATGCTATAATTGTACCAGCCTACACCAATTCCTCTGGCAGCTCATTCCATACATGCACCACCCTCTGCATGAAAAAGTTACCCCATAAGTCCCTTTTAAATCTTTCCACTCTCACTTTAAACCTATGCTGTCTAGTTTTAGATTCCTCCACCCTAGGGAAAAGACCTTGTCTTTTCACTCTATCCATGCATCTTCCTCAAATTCCCTCTTAACCTCCTGCCCTTTGCCTTTGAAATTGTGCCCCTGATTACTGACTCCTTGACTTAAAGAGAAAAAAGTTCCTCCCTACTTAGCTTTTCAATATCTCTTACAACTTTGTGAACCTCAAATAGGACCCCCTCAATCTTCTCTGTTCTAAAGAAAGCTACTCCATCCCATCTCATCTCTCTTTATAGCTGAATTGCTGCAGCCCAGGGAACATCCTCTGTGTCTTGAAGAGAACAGCAGTCCCTGTGTACACTGTAGGGAGCAGCAGTCCCTGTGTACACTATAGGGAACAGCAGGCCCCCTGTGTATATTAGAGGGAACAGCAGTCCCCTTGTGTATTATTCATTACCCAGCAGGAACAGCGTGGATCTGGTAGTTGCTCCTGGGATTGCAGGCTTAGTTCAAGATTTATTAAAGTTTTTTACCGTTATTATAGTCATTATAGTGTACTGATTATAAGATTTTTTCCATTTTGTTTTATTGACATTCAAAAAACACCCAAACAAACCAACAAAAAAAGCGCGACTTTTCTTTCAAATTGACTTTTGTTTTAAACAGTTATTTAAAGGATCGACAGTGAACAGCTAAGGCTTTTTAAATTATTAATTCATCAGTTAAATAAGTCTGTGTTTTTGGGGCAGCTTTTAAAATTGCAAAGGTTGTTTTTGAAAAAATAAGCAGTTTTTTTTAAAATAAGGAGTTGTCTTTTCATACTGGAGAGGCCTACACATGGTCAGCTCCAGAGAAGTTTTTTTTCCCTTTGACGAATTTATTGAAGAGGAATCATTTTTATTCAGTTAATCAACTAAGTGGTTGATTTTTTTTAATTTTTATATGTTTGATATACGTACATTTTTAATTTTTTTTCCCGTTTTAACATTATTTTCTTTAGGTAATGAAAGGTGGTTTATTATTTATATTAGGTGTTGTTGAAACATCCTTTTTTTTAGGCTTAATGTTACTAAGGCCATGTAAAAGGTACAGAGTGAGATGGTTAGTAGATTTAGAAAAGTTATTACCTAGGAGGATCAGTCACATAGATGGGTGATTGTCAGGAAAGGTTAAAAAGTAGTTCAGAAGTCTCCAGTGACTATTCTTGTATTAAATAGATATTCATTTTTTGGAACAGTTGAAGGGGATAGTCTCTTTGAGGAAAATTTACTTGGAATGATTCTTATGTGAGGCAACATTTGACAAGATTTAATAGCATTATTGTTATAGGGGACTCTCCTGCCAGGGGTATAGACAGGTGATTCTGTGGCAGTGAGTATAAATTTAAGATGGTTTGTTGCTTTCCTGGTGCTAGGATTGAGGATGTTTCTAAATGTTTCAAGCATATTGTTAAAGGTGAGATTGAGACACCAGAAATTCTTGTACACATTGGTAGGAATGACATTCTTAGGGAAAAGATTAAAGCAGTACAGAGTGAATTTAAGAGATATGTAGAGGATTAAAAAAATTAACCCTTAAAAGTAGTAATTTCTGGTTTACTCCTAATGCCAAACTCAAACGAGGGAAAGAACAAAAAGTTAAAGGAGATAAATCAATGGCTGAAGAGCCGATGTATTGTTCAGGAATTCAGGTTTGGAATCCCTTGGAATTCAATTGGAATGTCTTTTGGGATAGAAAAGGCCTGTTCAAAAGGGATGGGTCAAACCTAAACTGGAAAGGAACCAATATCGTAGCAGGGAGATTTGCTCATTATATTAAGGGAGACTTTATACTGATAGAGAAGGCAAGTGGAGAAATTCTAAGTAGCAGTGTAGATGGAAGGACTGTTGGGGTAGGTTCTGAATGTGAGGACAGCACGTCAATTAGAAAAGAAAGACAAGAGACTGTCAGAATAACTCTGAAGAACTAAATTGCATTTATTTCAGTGCAAGGGATCTTACAGGTGAGGCTGACGAACTCAGGGCATTTTTGAGAACATGGGATTGGGACATCATAGTTATTACAGAAACTTGGCTGAGAGATGGACAAGACTGGCAGCTCAATGTTCTAGGTTTTAGATGCTATAGGAATGATGAAAAAGGAGGCAAGAGAGGAGGATGGGTGGTGTTTTTAATTAAGGAGTACATTACTGCTGTAACTAGTGAAGATATTTCTGAAGAATCATCCAATGAAAATATATGGGTAGAAATTACAAATAAGAAAGGAAAGATCACTTTGATGGATAGTAATTTAGGCCCCCAGTAGTAAGATAGAAATTGAGAAACAAATATGTAGGAAAATCCCAGGTTTTTGTAAACATAATAAGGTTGTAATATGGGAATGTTAATTTTTCAAACATTGACTGGGACTACCATAGTGTTAAAGGTTTGGATGGTGAAGAACTTGTCAAATGTGCTCAAGAAAATTTTCTTTATCAATATGTGGATGCTCATGCTACTAAAGGAGCAAAACTAGACCTTTTGGGCAATAAGGCAGGGCAGGTAACTAAAGTAAAAGTGGGGTAACACTTTGGGTCTAGCGATCATAATTCTATTAGTTTTGAAATGGTTATCGAAAAGGATAAGTCTTCCATAAAAGTTAAAGTTTTTAATTGGAGTAAGTCAAATTTTAATGTTATGAGACCAGAACTTTCAAAAATTCGTTGGGGTAGACCGTTCACAGGTAAAAGGACGTCTGACAAGTAGGAGGCGTTCAAGAGTGTGATGATGAGAGTTCAGAGGCATTTTGTCCCTGTTAGAGTGAAGGTAAGGCTGGAAAGATTAAGGAACAATGGATGAATAAAGATATTGTGGTTCTAGTCAGGAGTACAAAAGAATCTTTTTATTTAGATATAGATAACTTGGTTCAATTGAATCTCTTAATCAATATAGAGTGTAGGGGTATTCTTAAGAGAGAAATGGGGAAAGCAAAGATGGGATATGAGATAGCACTGGAAGATAAGGTTAAGGATAAGCCAAAGAGAGCCGACAAATACATTAAGAGCAGGAAGATAACTAGAGAGAGGGTAGGGCCTCTTAAAGATCAAGGAGATCATCTTTGTGTTAAACCCCAGGAGATGGAAGAGATACTAAATGAGTATCTTGTATTGGTTTTTACTGTGGAGAAAGAAATGGAGTCTAGAGAATGCAGAGAAATAAACTTGGATGTTTGAAAAATGTTCACATTACAGAAGAGGAAGTTGGGGAGTCCTTAGAGAATATAAAGCTGAATAAATCTCTGGACCTGATCTAATGTATCCCAGAACGTTGTGGAAAGTAAGGGAGGAAATTACGAGACCCCTTGCAGAAGTATTTTCACCATCTATATCTATGGGTGAGGTGCCTGATGACTGGAGGGTGGCTAATGTAATGTTTATTTAAGAAAGGCTGTAAGGAAAAACTGGGAACTATAGACCTGTGGATCTGACTTCAGTTGTGGGTAAATTATTGGATGTGATTACAAAAGATAAGATTTATGGACATTTAGAGAGGCAAAAATTGATTAGGAATAGTCAGCATGGTTTTGTGCGAAGAAGATCATGTCTCACAAACTTGATTGAGTCTTTTGAGGAAGTTACCAAAAACATTGATGATGTTGTTTATTTGAATTTTAGACTAATTAGTAAAGTTCGGTCACATGGGATTCAGGGGGAGCTTGCCACTTGGATACATAATTAGCTTTAACAGCAGGAGACAGACAGTAATGGTGGAGGGTTACTTTTTGGGCTGGAGGCCTGTGACCAGCGGTGTGCCACAGGGATCGGTTCTGGGTCCTCTTTTGTTTGTCATTTATATAAATGATTTGGATGAGAATATAGAAGCCGTGGTTAGTAAGTTTGCAGATGACACCAAAATTGGTGGCACAGTATACAGTGAAGAAGGTTTTCTAAGATTACAGAGGGATTTTGATCAAATGGATCAATGGGCTGAAAAATGGCAGATGGAGTTCAATCTGGATAACTATGAGGTATTGCATTTTGGTACAACAAGCAAGGTTAAGGCTTATACAATTAATGGTAGCATCTTGGGCAGTGTTGTAGAACAGACGGACCCAGGGGTGCAGGTACATAATTCCTTGAAGTTTGCGTCACATATAGACAGGATGGTTAAAAAAGCATTTGGCATGCTTGCCTTCATTGCTCAGTCCTTTGAGTGTCGGAGTTGGGAAGTCATGCTGAGGTTGTACAGGACATTGGTGAGGCCTCTTTTGGAATACTGTGTCCAGTTCTGGTCGCCCAGTTATGGGAAGGATATTGGTTTCAGAAGAGATTTACCAGGATGTTGCTGGGTATGGAAGGTTTGAGTTATAAAGAAGGACTGGAACTTTATTCACTGGAGCTTGAGAGGTGACCTAATAAAATTTTATAAAATAATGAGAATGTAGATAGAGTTGATGGTAGTTGTCTTTTCCCTGGGATGTGGAATTTCAAGACTAGGGTGCACACTTTTAAGGTGAGAGGGGAGAGATTTAAAAAAGACACGAGGCAATTTTTTTTTACACAGAAGGTGATTCGCGTGTGGAATGAACTTCCTGCAGAAGTGGTGGATGCTGGTGCAATTACAACGTTTAAAAGATATTTGGATGGATACTGAATGGGAAAGGTTTGGAGGGATGTGGGCCAGGAGCAGAAAGGTGGGAGTAGTTCAGTTTGGGAATTAGGTTTGGCATGTATTGGTTGGACTGAAGGATCTGCTTCCGTGCTGTATGACTCTATGACTGTCTTCTGCACTCTGTCTCGTGCAATCTCATCCTCCTTATAGGGTGGCGATCAGAACTGCACAGAGTACTCTAGTTGTGTCCTGACTTACGTTATACACAGCTCCATTATAACCTTCTTGCTATTCAATTCAATGCCTTGACAAATAGTGGAAAATATCCAACATGACATCTTAACTACCTTATCCACCTGTCCTTCAAGGGTCTGTGGACTTGTGGACTTATGCACTTAATGTCCTTTTGATCATCTGAGCTCTCTCTGATGTTCTCACACAGACAATTGCTTATTTGCATAAAGTGTTGAATTCATTGTTAATATAGATGTTTAGCTTTGTTTTTAAAAAAAATCTTGTCATTTTTAAGCTGGGTGGGTCTTTCACAGTTTTTCTTAATGATGCAGCTTCATGATTTAAGGGGAGCTTCTTGTTTCTCGCTAACAGAGGATCTGGTAATCTGTGATCCATTCATCAGAATATTTGAACGTAAAGGTGGTTTGCGTGGATTGAAAGATTATGCAATTGAAGCTGAAGATAAGGAGTTGGGAGAGAGGATTGCACTGGTGGAGAAGTACAGTCTGAGGCTCCCCGCACTGATTGAGAAAATCACCAGCTACTCTGTTGATGACCTGAAATTTGCAGGTAACAAGACTATTTTGTCCTCTTCAACAATCCTTTGTCTTGTTTTTCAGTAGCTTTATTATGTTATTTTCATTTTCCTGCTAAATTCCTTTACCTCTGGCTTGAGTGTCTAGCAGATAGAGCTGAGTTCTTGTGCTTTTAAAGCAATTCTGTTCAATTTGTTGTTTGTGTTGTTGAGCATTCACATTGAGGGTCAACGTAAAACCTTTTTAAAAGATGCGTCTTGCTATGAAGAAACTTTGTTGGAAAAACAGTTGACCAGTTATTGACACAGATAATTCTTATCTGCACTGGTACCGGACTCCTTGGTTTAATTAAAAGAAACTGAGAGCAGAGATTTTCATCCATTTGAGAGGAGAGGCTGGATTTTAGTTTGAAGATCTCATCAGAACGATGACACTGCTGAGAGTACAACACTCCCTCGGTTTTACGCTGGTATGTCCGCTTTGATTTTAGTCCTGAAGCCCTGAAGTGGGACTTGAACTTACAACCTTCTAACTCAGAGGAGGGGGCTGCAAATGTCTAAAAGTTGGGAGTTGTTGATTCGTCCCGAGGCAGATTGTCTTTTAGATTTGAAAGCAATGTTGCTGCATCATGGAATGTGTCAAAAGATGAATGTATAGTGGGGGTGGTTTGAGCCGAAATCGCTGAGTGGCAAATGCAGGGGCTTGTATTGCATTTGATCACACCAGCTTCCCAAAAGGCAGATTATGTTACCATTGCCCCAACTGATTTTACTGTTGGTCAACGATTGGAAGAAACATCTTTAGTGAATCGGGCAGTAAGTATTTGGTCTAAAGACCTCAATTTCAGATATTGTTTCCCTCTTGTCACTTTCTTGGTCTCTTTTTAGTGTGTATGTTTGCATATATGGCTGTGTCTTTTCTTTTTAATTCATTCATATTTTGAATGTAGGTGTTATATGTGTAAACATGTGAGACAATTCTGAAATAATGCAAAGGTCATATCACTCACAAAAGTGATGTGAGGAAAAACCTTTCCATGAAGCAAGTGGTTCAGATCTGAAATGCACTGCCTGACAGTGTTTTGAGTTGTTAAAAGGGTAGCTGGATGGTTATTTGAAAAGAAAGAATGCATGGTGTTAGAGAAAGAGGACACTAAGTGAGATGCTCATTTAGAGAGCTGGCATAGACCCAAGGGGCTGAATGGCCTCCTTCTGCATTGTTGTGATCCTGTGATGCACTCTGATTTGTGACTCAGTCATCTGAACTCAGCTGTGGATGCTGGTACCATTGTTGACTTTAAACCTGAGATTGACAGAGTTTTGTTAACCATCAGAGTTGAAGTACATGAGGCATCATGGAACAGTTGTGATCTTGGCGAATGTCAGAACAGGCTAAGGGGTTAAATGATGTCCTCCTACATTTGGTCACCTTTCCCTCTGATTTTCTACCTCGAGTTCAAAGGGATTATTTCACTTGAGAATTTCACTTGTCCTTTTCAATCTTTTACAGATGTTGTTTTGGGAACTGCATGCAAAGCAAAGGGTTATGAGTTTCACACCGTACAGATAACCAATGACCTTGTGAAAGTTCCAGGCTATCGACATGATCATCGTATGCTTTCGGAGTTCAGAATGGGCAAGTCCTTTTCTGAAGATTTTTTTAACCTGTTTTCTCTCCCTTCTGCTGACATTATACACTCTGTGCTAAAGGCGCATTACTGTTTTGTTTATTCATTCACGGATGTCAGGGTCACTGGCTCAGCCAGCATTTATAACCCATCCCTAATTACCCAGATGGAAATTAAGCATCAACCACATGCACATCAGACTAAGACGGCAGATTTCTTCCCTAAGCGGTATCAGTGAACCAGATGGGCCTTTTACAGCAATTGTAGGTGGTTACATGATTTCCATTAGGCTGACAATTTTTTTAAAATTCTAGATTTTTACTGAATTCACCATCTGCCATGGTGGGATCTGAACCCTGGTTCCTAGAACAATAGTCTGGATTTATAGCCTAATAACATTACTACTACATCACCATCTCTCCAAAATGCTGTCTTTTACAAGCCGGGTCTGTTCAGGCGAATGGACTGTTCCACCACACAAGGCATCACATTCCACCCAATAATGTCCTCCAATACAGTCCATAGGTGCACACCAAATGAATTGGGGTGGAGGAGAGATGTAGACGTGGGTTGGGCGTTGGAGTTGGTGGGGGGAGAGCAAATTGAGATTATCAGGATTAGAAATGCTGACTGGCCTTTTGCATCTTTTAATTGATTTATTCATTCTGCCTCACATTGGAGCTGAGAGGCCCGTTCCACCCTAACTGTCTCAGCTCAGCTAGAGATTGGAGGATTGTCCTTTGAGGAGAGATTGGTTCACCTGGATCTGTATTTACTAAAGTTTATAAGGATGAGAGGGGTCTGATTGAAACGTATGAAGTTCTAGTAGGGCTGGACAGACTGGGTGCAGGGAGGTTGTCGGGAGTCTACAACTAGGGCTCACCGTCTCAGAATACAATGTAGGCCATTGAGGACGGACATAGGGAAACATTTCTTCACTGGAAGAGTAGTGAACTTGTGGAATTCTCTACCACTGAAAGCTGTGGATACCAGGTCCTTGAATATATTCAAGAAAGAGAGAGGGAAAAACCTTTAGATTTTAAAGGCATCAAAGGGTGTGGGAAGAGAGTGAGAATATGTTATTGAATTAGAATTAGGTTTATTGTCATGTGTACTCAAGTACCAGAGTACAGTGAAAAGTTGGGAGAGAGAGAGAGAGGAGTAGCTATGATCCTGAAGACTGATGGAGCAGCCTCATCAGGCTGAATGACCTACTTCTGCTCTCAGTTTCTGTGCAACTTAGCTTAGGCCACAACCTGAGCCTGTGACCTGTATGTTCTGGTGCCTTGGATGGTGCTGTATGTTCCCACTGAACCATTGGAAGTGTTAGAGATAGCAAGAACTGCAGATTCTGGAGTCAGAGATAACACAGTGTAGAGCTGGAGGAGCACAGCAGGCCAGGCAGCATCAGAGGAGCAGGAAAGCGGACATAGCAGGCCAGGCAGCATCAGACCCGACCTGATGTGTTCCTTCAGCTCCACACTGTATTGTGATTGGAAGTGTTAGGTAGTTTAGCTTTGAGGAGATGAGCAATTGAGAACTATTTACCGAGTGATTTTCATGTTGATTGAAACCCGACTCATAGAAGCGCTGACTGTATCTTGGGAGTATGTTGTGCTTTGAGAAGTAGCAATGGTTTCAGCTGCTGAGGCAAGGAATAAGCATCCACAGATAGCTGTGTACATCCATATCTTGGTGACAAGCAATGGCACTCAGCTGGTTCACCTGGATAGTTCTCCATTATTCTGTCCAGTCTTTCCTTTATTAAACCCTAGCTTACCATCTCATTTTAATATTATCTGGCGAATAACTTCGACTCACCTTTGACCCTGACTCCAAAAACAAAATTGTGCAACTCTACACATTTGGACCATCATTCCTTTTGATATTAAAACAAAATTGCATCTTTCCCCTCAGATGTGGTGCCAGATATCGATTGGAACTTGCTTTACATTGCTGTGACACGGGCAAAAAGGCACCTAGTGATGAACAAATCTTTAGAATGTCTGCTTTCCTTCGCTGGTGTGAGTACACTTACTGCGTTCCTTTCCTTACTTTGGTCTTTTGCTAAGGTACTGGATACTGTGAGAGGTTTGTGTAGCACCATGTGGTTCACAAGCATCTCTAGTTACTCCAGTGTGCAAGCTCCTGCCCTCCTGTGTTACAGCAGCTCCCTGAAGGTGTGGCTTTTTTTTTAAGCTATTGGACAGACCTGTGACAAATACTGGATGTGGGTCTCGCCATTTATTCCAATCAGTCTGGCCTCTCTTCTATCTAAAGAACCTCACTTGCATTTACTTTGTGTCTCATTAAATGTTGCAAGTGCTGAAAATGCTACACACGTGTTGAATTGGTTTTGGAAGGGCAGTGTCTGTTATACTGTGGCAAGGTCTTGCACATCTTCCAAGCAGCAAAGAGATGATCAGCTTGTTTAATGAGTTGACTTGTTTCAGGCACTTCATTAGATCCTTAGTTTTTTCATTTGTTTGTGGGATGTGGGTGTTGCTGGCTGGCTAACGTTTATTGCCCATCCCTAGTTGCCCTTGAGAAAGTGATGGTGAGCTGCCTCTTGAACTGCTGTAGTCCATATGATGTAAGTAGAACCACAATGCCCTTAGGAAGAGTTTTCCAGGATTTTGAACCAGCGACAGTGAAGGAATGGCGATATATTTCCAAGTGAATATATAGCGAGTGGCTTGGAAGAGAGCTTGCAGGGGATGGTGTTCCCATGTATCTGCTGCCCTTGCCCTTCTAGGTGGTGTTCC